TTTGTAATCACATTTTCTTTTCCCAGTTTGTAGCTTGCCCTTTCATTTTGTAAAGGATATCTTTTGATGAATAGATGTTTTAAATTTGATGAAGTCCATTTTATCTCCCTCTGTCTCTGTCTCTCTCTCTTTTTTTAAATGATATCTACTTTTTTAAAATCCTGCATTTGAAATCTTTACCCAGCCTAGGTCATAAAGATTTTTAAATATATTTTATTCTAGAATTGTTACAGTTTTGGCTTTTGTATTTAGGTCTAGGAACCGATTCAAGTTAATTTTTATGTGTCATGGAGGTAAGGGTCAGGGTTTTTTTTTCCTCTGCAGATATTCAGTTGCTACAGCACCATTTATTACGAAGAGTCACTGAATTGCAGTCGTTCCTTTGTTGTAAATCAAGTGGCTACATGTGTTGATCTAATGCTGCACACATTACGTTCTGTATTCTTTGTCTCCCTTTAAGCTAATACTGCAGTGTCTTTAATACTGTACTGTATAGCAAGTCCTTAAAATACATAGTGCAAGTTTTCTATTTTAATTTCCTTAAAGACTAGCTAGCATTCTAGGGCTTTGATTTCTGTATAAATGTTAAAATGAATGTATCATTTCACTCCAAGAAAAGTTGCTTGTATTTCGATTGGGATTGCATTGATGGTCTAAAATCAATGAGGGGAAAATGGGCATCTTAACATTGTTGAGTGTTCTAATTCATGCACATAGGATATCTCCTTATTTATTTAGGCCTTTCAAAAATTTCCCTTACCACTGTTTTGTAGTTCAAGATATACATTATATACCTTTTTGTTAAATTTATTTTCAGGTATTTAACATTTTTGATGGTATTTCAAGTGGTATTTATCATAAAAATTAGCTAGTATGTAGCTGAAACATTAACTTTTGTTTATTGACATTTTCAATAACCTTGCAAAAATTCACTTATTCTAGTTACTTGTAGATTTTTGAATTTCCTATGAACATAATAATATCACCGGCAAATTAAAAGGTTTCATTTTTCCTTACCTTTGTATCTCTTGTTTTGCCTTACCCCAAAAGATAGGACCCCCACTACAATTTGATGAGAAATGACGGTAGTAGACACTCTTGTCTTGTTTGCAGTCTTAATGAGAGGTGTTCAGTGTTTCACTAGTGACTAATGTTAGCTGTAGGTTTTTTGAAGATATCTTTTATTAGATTAAGAAAATTTTCTTTTATTGATTTTCTGAGTGTTTTTATTATGAATGGGTGTTGAATTTTATCAGATGCATTTTCTGCATTATGAGGTGATTATATACTTTTTTCTTTTATTTTGCTAATGCTGTAAATTACATTGTTTTTTTAACTGGCAAACCAACCTTGCATTCCTGGAATATATACCACTTGGTCTTAATGGATTATATTTATCTCTAGATTTTATTTGTTAATATTTCACGTAGTGTTTTTCTGTCTATAGTTATGAGATATTATCGGACTATAATTTCCCCCCCTAAAATGTGCTTATCAGATTTTGTTATCAAGGTTATGCTGGCTTTAATATGAGTTGGGAAACATTCTCTTTTTGTTTTCTGGATGTGTTTGCATAACATTGATAATTATCTTTTTCTTAAATATTTGGTGGAATTCACCAGCAAAACTATCTTTCTTTTTGGAAGGTTTTTAAATCCAGCTCAGTTTCTTTAATAGATAATACTACTCTTCAAGTTTTCTGTTTGTCAGTGTTGAGGAGTAGTGTTTTTCAAGGAGTTTTTGTATTTCATTTAAAGTTTCTAATTTATTGCTATATTTATAACACCCTCTTATTTCTTATTTTTCTGGAGGATTCTTAGTAATCCTACAGAAAATTCTTTGTTTTTGTAATTTTTACTTTCACTTTTTTCCTGGTTCAATATGTAGGAATTTACAAATTTTGTCAGTTTTTTCAGAGAACCAACTTTTTGCTCTGATCATTTTCTATTGTATGCCTTTTTTCTACTTCACTAGTACCTATTATTATTTATTTCTTCCTTGGGTATAATTTGCTATTCATCTGCTAATCTTATAAGTTGAAATCTTTTAGAATGTTGATTTTCAGTTTTTCTTATAATTTGGCCTCAAGGGACTATTATAGCAAACCCCCATGCTATCGTCCAACTCTGAATATTTTCTGATCTCCAGTGTTATTTAACCTGTGGGGTTACTTAGAAGTGTGGTGTTTAATTTCTTAACATTTGGCGATTTTCTGGTTACTTTTCTTTTATTGGATTTCATGTGAATTTACAGTGGTCAGGAAAGATACACTGAATTGTTTCAGTTCTTCGCAATTGTTGAGACTCGCTTTATGTCCCAGGACATATCTATACTGGTAATTGTGCCATGGATACTTGAAAAGAATGTGTATTCTGCATTATGTCATGTTCAATGCTTTTTACTTGTGAACTACATCAATTTACTAATTGGGTTTGTTCAGATCTATATTCTTACTGATTTTTGTCTATTCTGTTAGAGAGGTGTGTTTATATTTATATTCCCTATTATTTAAACCAACTATTGCGAAATGGCTATCTTTCCTTTTAGTTTTGTCAGGTTGTGTTTTGTACTTTTGAAGCTGTGCTGTTAAACTAATATAATTTATGATTTTAATGGCTTCTAAGTACATCGACCATTTTGTCAAAATGAGATTTCCCTCTTTATCTCTCATAATACTTTTTGCTTTAAAGTCTGTTTTGTCTGCTATCAGTGTTGCCATATCAGCTTTCTTTTGGTTAGTGTTTGCATTGTACATCTTTTTGGATCCTTTTATTTTCAACGTTCCTGGGTCTTTTTCTTTTAAACAGTATATAGTTGCCTCTTATTTTTAAATCGAGTCTTTACATTTAATACGATTACAGTTTACCATGTTACTCTTTGTTTTCTTTTTGTCCATTTGTTCTTTTTAAAAAATATATTCCTTCTTTCCTGACCTTTTGTTGATTCTAGAGTATTTTTATAATTTTATCTCCTTTGTAATTTTTGCATTATATTTTTTAGTGTCACCTAAGCAATTACCCAATAAATTATAAAAATACACCTGTAACATATTATAGTGTACCATAAATTAGTACTTTTATTATGTCTTGAGCAATGGAAAAACTACAATATATTTGCATTATTTAATCCCCACTTTTTGCTGTGTTTGGAGAGATCTTTTTTCCATATGTGTTATAAATCCCACAAGACATTGTTAGTATTGTTTTCAAAGCAGTCAGGGGTCTTGTATTTAGCCACATATTTACCTTTTCTAGAACTGTTGATTTTTACTGGTATTTGTGCTGTCATCTAGGACTATTTTCCTTTAGTCTGAAGATTTCTTGTAGTAGTTTTTGCTTGCTGGTGAGGAATCTTCTTAGCTTTTGTTTGCTTTAGGATGTCTTTATTTTGATTTCATTTTGGATGAATATTTTCGATGGAAATAAAATTCTCGGCAGTTTTGTTTCTTGCTGTATTTTAAAGATGCCATTCTAGTCTTTTTGCTTCCATAGTTTTTATTGTGAAGTCAGTGATATTTCTTACTGTTGTTTCTGTAGTTCTTACCTGAGAGTGATTTTGTGTTACTTTTAGCCCCTCCCCCAGGGGACATTTGGTAATGTCTGCAGGTATTTTGATTGTCTCAACTTGGTTGGGAGGGAGGTATGCTAATGAATTTGCTGGATCTGGTAGTTGCTTCTGAGCTTCTTAAAATGCACAGAACAGTTCCTTGCAACAAATAATCATCTTAAAGTGTCAATAGTGCCAAGATTGAGAAACTGTGTCTTAGAGGTAATGTCTTATTTTTTCTGGTTATTTACAAGATTTTCTCTTTATTTTAGATTTTCAGTAGTTTGATTGTGATATACCTTCATCTTTCCTGGGATAGATTTTAATTCTGTCTTATAATACCCTGTCTTTTTATCCAGTTGTTTATGTTTTTGTCGTTTTTATTTAATGTATTCATCATAGTTACTTCGAAGATTTTCTCTTTTAATGCCACTCTTTGGATTACTTCTGAGTCTCCTTCCATTGACTATTTTATCTCTTGATTATTGGCTCCTTTTTTTTGCTTCTTAGCATGTCTAGTAATTTTCAATTTTATGTTGAAAATTATGGGTAAAATGTAATAGGGGCTGTGAGTTATCCTTTTTTTTTAAAGATTTTGACTTTTGATAGGCAGTTAAATTATCAGCTCTTCATTTTTATCTTGTCTAGTCCTGGTTTAGTGTTTTGTTAGGTTTGGTCTGTTTCAGTTTTTTAAAAACATAAATATATATATATATTTCTAGGGTGTGGTCCTTCTTCTTAAGGTGTAGCCTTCATGGGGTTACAACCGAATGTCTGGGGCCTTGCGCCAAGGTCTCTCAGCTTCCTAGCATCTGCTTCCTGCCAGGTCTGCTGGTTTTGTCTTATGCTTGTGCATCCCTGGAGACGATCAGGAATTGACAGAATTTGCTAAGACTTCTGAGGTTCCCTTTTCATGGCTAACCCCCTATCCAGCATCCTGTCCTTTCAAACGTAGCCACCTTTGCCTAGAATTCTGGTCTCTGTTCCCTCTCCCCAGTGAGGTTACTGATTTGTGCTTTGACTTCAGTTCAATATACAATCCCCAGAAAATGCTTGTAGGGGAAATTCTTGGGGAAATATTAGATCACCTCATGTTTCTCTTCTCTGAGGGACTGCAGCCTTGTGCTGACTGTAGCCCATGTTTACAAACAGTTGTTCTATATATTTTGTCCAGATTTTAAAGTTATTTATGATTGGAGGTTAATTCTGATACTACGTATTCTCCATTGCCAGAATCTGAAGTCCTTCCATTTTCTTTTATAGACAGACAAACTGATTTTTAAAGTCAGACTTATTGCTTTGTATTTATTTTATTCTAGAAGAAACACTTTGGTTTGGTTGTCATTCTGGAGTAAGTTTTATATTTCATAGAAGTAAATATTAATTGGGAAATGCGTACCGTATTATGCATTACTTGATATCTTAATTGTCCATTATGTTTTTTGTGCTTCAAGGAATCGTTTGTTGCGGTTTGCCTTAGAGTCACCGCCCATTTCTCCTGCTTCCTGCTCTTCAAAGAACCTTGCTGCCAAAGCACACACTCCTGTAGCCTTTAGACATTCTTTAAAGCAAGGAAGCAGGTTGATGGAGAATTTCTTGGTTAGAGAAACTGGTGGTTCTACATCAAAGTTGTTAATAAACAAGAACGAAAGCAAGTTCAGCCCTCAAAAAGAGGTGAGCACTTCTGCCAAGACCAAAGAGACACCTTCCTTGGGAAAGGTAGCTTCAGGCATTGCAGGCGCTAATGTTCCTGAGGCACCCTCTACATCGACTTTGAAACAAGTTACTAAAGGTAGGAAATTATTTTCATGTATGTATTTTCTTAATAGAAACCTTCTGCTCCCACGTGTCATAAGAATATATAGGTAGTGTTTTTGAGGTGGGAGGAATTCAAGAAAGGGCAAACCATATCTCAACTTACAGAAATCTCAAAAGTTGATGTAGGCTGTGCTTTAAGATATGTTTGTTCTGTTTCTGATTCAGGCTGATTGCTGCATAAATGAAGCAATTTTAATTAGTTTATACTTTAAGTATGACAGTAGCTATCTGTTTTTCAGCTCTTAATTACCTCCTCATCCTTCTTATTTTTCTGCTTTAATCTTAAAGAGTGCTTTGTATCTTATTATACCACTACTTATGCACTTCCAAGCTGTTCTGACTGGTATTTATAGCCTAAAACAATTTGACCCCTGCCCTACCTGTACAAACTTATTCTCACCTCTGCCTCTCAAAAGTCCTCTGCTCTGGCCAAGCTGATCTGCCCACTATTCCTTGAATACACCCAGAGATTGGCAGTTTACTACCTGCAGGCCAAATTTGGCTTCTCACACCTATTTTTGTGAATAAAGGTTCACAGGAACATAGCCACATCCTTTGTTTACATGTTGTTGTGGCTGCTGTCGTGCCTCATGGCAGAGTTGAGTAGTTGTGACAGAGACCACCTGGCTCCCAAAGCCTGAACATTTTACTACCTGGTCCTTTGCAATGTGTGCTAGCCCGCTTCTGCGTTTTAGACTCTATCCAGGTCCTAACCACTCTTTGGTGATGTTAGGTAGTATTGATGCCTCATATCACTAAAGGGTTAGAGCCTGTTTTCTGGACTATTTGTATATGATTTGCTGAACTTTTTGATGAGTGGGTCAGCTTGTTTAACCTATTGTTTCATGTCTATTCTTGCCAGTGATGTTTAGAGGACCTTTTAGGCAGAAACTATGTCCTAGATGTCTTTGGTACACTCACAGCACACACAGTGCAGGGCTATTAGTGGTTATTAAATGTAGATCGACCTTAGTTTATTAGTATTCAAGTGTTTAAGTTTCATAAGGATATGTAAATTTTACTTGCATTTTCTAGCGTACTTTATTTTTTGTTAGTGTGTCAGTTCACAGTTCTTACGGTAGTGTTTTTAGCTTGATAGTTAAATTATTTATTCCAGCAGAATCATCTTTTTCAAATGAAATCTTACAATGACCCACAACATATAAAAGAGGTAAAACAGGCCCCGCTGCATTAGAGAGGTGCTGCTCCACCTGACCGCTGCCTTTGTCCCTGTCTGTTACCTATGGTGGTCTCTAGTCCCCAAGATACCTCACAGAACCCTGCAACTCCAGGAAACAGCTTGAGAATGATTGCATTTCCTAATTTTAACGTAAAAACAAGAGCTAAATTAACAAATTAGTAACCATTGGTAAATTGAGCAGTAGTTGGCCTAAACCAGTAAATGTTTTAGTGTAGCTATACCACCGCTCCTCCCTCCACTCTGCCCCCAGCCAAGTATGTCTTAACTCGGGTTGTGACGATTACTTTGGCACTAAACATGGATGAGTGGTTCCTAAGATTTGAAAAACCTAAGATTGGCCTTATAGTTTGATCACCCTGTGGTAGAAATGACTTAACCAAAGCATTTTCTAATAAATTTCCAAACTTCTTCACAGTCTCTTCCTTTCAATTTATGGGATGTCCCACAATTCAGTCATTACCCAGTAACCAGTCTGTCCCATGCCTGTTGCCCTGAGGTGTCATTCTGTCTCTCTTCTGTTTTCCTAAGTACATGTTAATCTTGGGATTCTATTTTTTATCTTAATCTGTGAAAGATGCCATGTTATATTATTTTTTGCCCAGTCTACCAACAATAAATCATCTTTCTTTTAAAAAAAAATACAGTGGATTGTCCTGTTTGCGGCGTTAATATTCTAGAAGATCATATTAATAAGCATTTGGACAACTGTTTATCACGTGAGGAGAAGAAGGAAAGCCTCAGAAGGTAAGAAAGTTAAGCATAACCATTGAACTGCTTTACAGATGCCTCTTGTGCTTTACAAACTTGGGGCAAAAAATACAATACTCATTTTATCCTAGTGACCAGTTGTCCGAGTCCCTCTCCCACGTGCTCTTACCTTTACTTCTGTTAGTTACTCTTCCATTCCCTCTCCTTGTTCTTTTCTCTACTCCCACTTTGCCATATATAATTAACTATTGAATTTAACTGCTAATAAAATTTGACTTAACAAGAAATTAGTGATAGGATAAAATTTTCTTTAAACTTGTTTTCTTCTCTTAGGACTTTAGAACTAACCCCATATAGCCCCTTAGCCAAAGAAAGCAGGGCTAGACTCTGAATATAGAACATATGAAAACTTTCTTTGGTTCTTAGGATGCTTAGAAGTTTTACAATTTTGAATACAGCTTGTTTAAAACAAGTTGTTTTTTTTTTTTTTAAATAGGCAGTTATATACATATGACATTAAAAGGCACAAAAGGGTGTGTATGAAATGGAATGTCCTCCGGCCTCAGTCCCCAAACACCAGGTGGAATAACTATTAAGTTGTCTACTCAGTGTTTGCACCCAAACTTCTGTTTCGCCTCCCTTGTACATCAGTCACAGTAATTTATTTATGCAGGCCACTATTGGTATACATATAAATTGTTTAGGAATGAAATTTAGTCAAAGTGAATATTGCAGGTGTTCAGGAATCAGTGGTTAATGAAGATAATAAGGAAACAGAAGCTGCAAATTAGAGGAATCTGGTGATGAAGGGAAGAAGAGAGATGAGACAGTAATTTGGGAAAGCAGTAAACATCAAGATTAAGGAAGACTTTATTTTTTAAAATTGAAATTGAGCCCTGGCTGGTGTGGCTCAGTGGATTGAGTGCAGGCCTGCGAACCAAAGAGTTGCTGGTTCAATTCCCACATGCCTAGGTTGTGGGCCAGGTCCCCAGTAGGGGGCGTGTGAGAGGCAACTACACATTGATATTTCTCTCCCTCTCTTTCTCTTCCCCTTCCCCTCTCTCAAAATAAATAAATAAAATCTTTAAAAAAAAAAAAAGAAATTGGTTAAGCCTTCAGTCTCTCTCTTTTAACTGTTTCCAGGGAAAGAGCAGATGATAGATGGAACAAGGTCAAGAGCATAAGAGATGAAGAGTCCAATAATGAAGTTACCTTTGATGTGTAGAAAGAACTTTCCTTCTGAAACACAAGTGATAGGGGGAGAGATAGTAGGTGATAATTCAGAGAGGTTTGGAAAACGAAAGGAGGGGAACTAAAGAAATTAATGGCACCCGGATCTGGGAGGTAGGGGCGAAGAGAATGACAGGCTCTTATGTTTGGTCTGTTTTGTAAGACTTGGAAGAGTATTTTCTAAAAACGATGTTAATAAGGGAGGACCTTTTTTTTTTGTGATTAAAGATAATAGGGTGTCACTTAATTTTTAGGAGTACTGATAAGTATGGAGCGAATTCAGGATTCAAGGGACAAACTCATACTGTTATAATCTACAAAAGCTAACATATAGACCAAGATAATACTTTACAAATTTGCTTTGGGAGACATTAATTGACAGTTCTTAATTTAGTGTTTTTAGCCAGATAGTTGATATTTTTTCCCTAGCACAACCTGTTTTCAAGTGAAATCTTAGAGTGAACTATAACATCTAAAAATAGATAAAATTGGTCCTGGCTAGTGTGTGGCTCAGTGGACTGAGTGCAGCATGTGGACCGAAAAGTTGCCAGTTCGATTCTCAATCAGGGCACATGCATGGGTTGTGGCCGGTCCCTCGTGTGCGAGGGGCAACTGACTGATGTTTCTCTCACACATCAATGTTTCTCTCCTTTTTCTCCCTCCTTTTCCCTCTCTTTAAAAATAAATAAATACATAAATAAATAAATAAAATCTTTAAAATAAATAAAATTGGCTGTGCTGCATTAAAGTAGAGATAGAGGGCCTGGGGATTGTGCTGCTCCACCCGACCTCGCCCTTTGTCCCTGCCTGTTGCCCATGGTTGACTCCTAGGCTCCCAGGTGCCTGCACAGATGCCGATGCAGTCGTGTGTGCACAGTGCTCCTTCCTAGTGTGTAAATTTGTTGCTGAGAATAAAATTAGATTTTTTTAGGTTACATTATTAGTTGAGATCTGGAATAAACGAAACGGAATCATCCCAAGGATTATTTCCCGTAAGCCATGAGAATTGGATGGCCTGCATTTCTCTTAGAAGTATTTCTTTCTAAAGAAAGAGTTAAGGATGTACAAGCTGAGCATTTTCTCCTTGAAGAGAGAGAAATCAACACTGATACCTTGCTTGGACTGCTGTTTTTCTAGGTGCATCCATCATATTTACTCTAACACTTTTAACTCTTTCAATTAATCCAAAGACATACTCATCCATGTATAATTAAGTTCAAGTTCCAAGAGTGGTTCCAGATCCTGCTCCATGGGCTGCTATAGTCCTCCCTGTTGCTCTGTTGTTCAACTTAGAAGCACTGCAAACTGAATCTGTCTCTTAGGAAAAGACTGACTATACAGGTTAGTGTATGGAAGGCTCTGAGAAGTCCTACATTAAAGACAATTGTTAGATTTTCTTTAATACAGTAATTCCTAAATTTATTTCCTCCCCAAACCTCTTGGTCCCGATAACTTATATCTTGTGAAACTGGTGTTGGTGAAGCTACATTTAGGGAAACATTGAGCCACATTTCTCTTTAAAGAAGTTATATCTTTGTCTGGGGTCTGATCACATAAAAGAGTCTCTGACATTTAAAAAGTTTTCTCCATAACACTTTGGACAGCCCAGTTCCTCGATGTGGATGACAGCCCTTAACCTGTTTGTTCTATGTAGATTCATATCAGAGTTGATTCAAAGAATGCTCCTTCTTTTGATGTCTTCAGGTTCTGAGGACCCTTAAGTGTTTTTATTCAGTTTTGCTAAATCATGGAAGGAAGATCAGTGTCATTTTCATGTTTTGGGAAACATTTATGAGGCTTCATATTTTAACATTTTTGGTAGAAATTGTTGATTGCTACTGGTGCTTTTTATTGTACATGCTAGTGAACAGCACAGCTTTCCATTAGAATTTCATAGTCATAAGTTTAATCATCTATTCTTGATAGAATAAATGTTTTAGATATACAGACTTAATGACTTGTCCCTTACAGTGTGCTTGTATAAGCTCTTACAGAATGTTTAAGCTCTGGCTACCTACTGGGATTTAGCCATAATTTTATCAGTCTTGTTGCGTTCAATTGGCTCTCATTGTAAGAACAATTATCAGAAAAATGTAATCTATTGAGGATTTGCAGATCTTTGTATAATTAAATAGTTATTTCTGGCTTTTAGACGTTATTGATAAAGCATGAAAGAAATAATTTAGCCAGGGAATGATACCATTGGTAGTAGAGAAATGTCTGTTTTTTTAGTCTGTATTAACTATCATTTCTGTCATTATGTTCTTTACTATTTGCATCCGATTTACCCTATGGAACCTTATTAATATAGATTTTAGGTCCCCATTTCAGGACAGAGTGAGTTGGGGAGTGGTTTGGAGAAGTGACCAAGAATCTGCATTTAAATAAGCTCTCCAAGTGGTTCTGAGACACTAAAGTTTGAGTAGCATGACCTTGTATGAACTAGTTATATGGAAGCCCTTTGTAAAACTTTGTTTTTTGATAAAACTGTTGCTTTCAACTTCCTATTCATTTTTACCTGAACTTTTAATAGTTTTGTTTTAAAATGATTACAACTGTAACAACTACCTTGAATACATATTTATTAATCACCTTATTGCCATAGGGTTGAATCAGGTGATATAGTCAGAGAACCAGTTTATAATCCGATTAAAACTCACTAACTAGTTTCTGTTTATAAAATTGTTTTAAGTCGTTGATACCCTTGGGTAACTTACTTCTATTCCATTTTAACAAATAATGTTTATTAACTGGTATTTTGGAGGGAGTAGAAGAAACTCATTTAGTAGGACTTTGTTGTATTTAAAATTATAGCTTAGTGATAATCAGCATATCAATTATGAAAATAGAATAAAGAGCCAGATGGTGAATTTAGTAATACCTTCTTCTAATGCCTTATATACATATTTGTTAATATAATTACTTTAAGTTGAAGAGAACTGAACCCTGTTGTGTTTTTGCTGTTTCTAGTTTTGTTCTTTGAAGATGGTGCCACAAGAATACCATCTACCCTTCCGTTTTCTGAATTTTTCTTTCATTGGTGATAATGGGTTGGGTTAAGCTAATTGTTCCAACAGGTCTTCTTTTATTTCACCTAGTGCTTTTGCAAAATGATTGCTTTGAATTTGAGGGACAGTTTTGCCTGCGGATTAAAACTTTTTTCTAAAGAAGATATAATTGATAATATTGTTAAGTCCATAGCTTAATACTCAATAGCATTTATACTCTATCTGATTTACCTGTTTTTTTTACAAAGATTTTGCATAAGAGCCATAGGAAGATTTTAGGAAAAGCATGCTTTAAAGAGCTAGAGAACTGAGTAAGTCTACAGAAGTGTGATTCTTACTCAAGTTCTCGTAGCACTTTGTTCACAGGCCTTCCATGTGAGTCCCAAGTCTGCATCTTCAGGCCTGCCCTGTTTCTTAGACCTAAAGTGTCTCTATCTGAATATCCTGCTGGCACCTCTGATGCATCATGTTAAACACTGTCAACTGTATTTGCAAATTTCATCCTTCTTTTTCCCATTTTTATCTTAATGGGTCTGTTCTCCCAGTCACCCTGGTATTGAGTCAGAAGGTAAATTACTATTTACATGAAAAGCATTTGATAATTCACAGTAACCCTCAGTTATCTCTTTTTTCTGCTTTTCAGTTCTGTTCAGAAAAGGAAGCCATTGCCCAAAACTGTGTATAACTTGCTATCAGATCGCGATTTAAAGAAAAAGCTAAAAGAACATGGATTATCTATTCAAGGAAATAAGCAACAGCTCATAAAAAGGCACCAAGAGTTTGTGCATATGTACAATGCCCAGTGTGATGCTTTGCATCCTAAATCAGGTAAAGCAATAAAGCAGTGAGTTATACTTGTCCTACGTAAAGCAGTTTTGTGTAGCTTGGGGATTATAAGTCATAGAAAAAAATTTAATAGATACAGTTTTGAAAATAGATAAGACACGCAAATATGTTTCTTCAGAAGTGTGTAGTATATAACTAGGTTATATACTATGGTAAGCCAGCCTTTCTCTCAAGCCAGTCTCAGTCCACATTCCCTTCTCAGAAGCAGTGACTGCTGCCAATTTCTATGTGTCTTTCCAGAGAAAATGTGGGAGAAAGACTTGATTTAGAGAGCCTGGGTTATAGTCCCAACTTTGCAGCTCTGTGACTGGGTGAAATTGGGCAAGTTCCTTAAGTTCCTTTTTTTTTTTTTAAGTATATTTTATTGATTATGCTGTTACAGCTGTCCCATTTTTTCCTCCCTTTTATTCTCCTCCACATTGCACCCCTCCCCCCAACCAGGATTCATCCCCTTAGTTCATGTCCATGGGCCATACATATAAGTGTTTTTTTTTTTTTTTAAGATTTTTATTTATTTATTTTTAGAGAGGGGAAGGGACAGAAAGAGAGGAAGAGAAACATCAATGTGTGGTTGCCTCTTGCACGCCCCCCACTAGGGACCTGGCCTGCAACCCAGGCATGTGCCCTGATTGGGAATCAAACCAGCAACCCTTTGGTTCACAGGCCAGTGCTCAATCCACTGAGCTACTCCAGCAAGGCCGTACATATAAGTTCTTTGGCTTCTCCATTTCCTATACTATTCTTAACCTCCCCGTCTATTTTGTACCTACCATTAATGCTTCTTATTCCCTGTATCTTTTCCCCCATTCTCCACCCCCCTTCCCACTGATAACCTTCCATATGATCTCCATTTCTGAGATTCTGTTCCTGTTCTAGTTGTTTGTTTAGTTTGTTTTTGTTTTTAGGTCCAGTTGTTGATAGTTGTGAGTTTGTTGTCATTTTACTGTTCATAGTTTCGATCTTTTTCTTAGATAAATCCCTTCAATGTTTCACATAAGGGCTTGGTGATGATAAACTCCTTTAACTTTACTTTATCTGGGAAGCACTTTATCTGCTCTTCCATTCTGAATGATAGCTTTGCTGGGTAGAATAATCTTGGATGTAGGTCCTTGGCTTCCATAACTTTGAGTACTTCTTTCTGCTCCTTCTTGCCTGTAAGGTTTCTTTTGAGAAATGAGCTGAATCTCAGGGGAACTCCTTTATATGTAACTGTCTCCTTTACTCTTGTTGCTTTTGAGATTCTCTCCTCGTTTTTCATCTTGGTTAATGTAATTAAGATGTGCCTTGGTGTGTACTTCTTTGGGTCCAACTTGTTTGGGACTCTCTGAGCTTCCTGGATCTCCTGGAAATCTATTTCCTTGGCCAGATTGGGGAAGTTCTCCTTCATTATTTTTTCAAATAAGTCTTCAATTTCTAGCTCTTCCTCTTCTCCTTCTGGCACACCTATGATTTGGATGTTAGAACGTTGAAAGTTCTCCTGGAGGTCTCTAAGCCTTTAGTCTTCTTTTTAAATTCTTGTTTCTTCATTCTGTTCTGGTTGAATGTTTATTTCTTCCTTCTGCTCCAAATCATTGATTTGAGTTCCAGTTTCCTTCCTTTCACTGTTGGTTCCTTGTGTATTTTTCTTTGTTTCACTTTGCAAAGCCTTCACTTTTTCCTCTGCTTTGTGACCATACTCAACCATTTCTGGAAGCATCCTGATTTGCCAGTGTTTTGAACTCTGCATCTGATAGGTTCGCTGTCTGTTCATTGCATAGTTGTATTTTTTCTGGAGTTTTCATCTGTTCTTTCATTTGGGCCTTATTTCTTTGTCTTGGAACTCCTGTCCCGTTGTAAGGTGCGGAGCCCTAGGTATTTGTCAGGGTGGGGCAACCCAGGTCTCTGTGTTGCGACGTTGTATGTGGGTGAGGGATCTGAGAGGGAACAATGCCACTTGCTCATCTTACCCCCGGTTTTCAGTCACTTACCCCACTATCCACAAGCAAATTGGGCCCTTCTGGTGCTGATTCCCAGGTGGGTGGGTTTATGTACATTCTAGGACCCTGTGGTTCTCTCCAAGGAACTCTCCTGTGAGGCTGGGAGTTTCTCCTGCCAACGCAACCCCCACAGGTTTTTACAGCCAGAGGTTTTGAGGCTTTCTTTTCCTGCCTTGTACGGTCAGTCTCACTCTCCAGTTGTTCCTCCTGGTTTATCAGCATGCAAATGTGGGACCTCCTGGTCTGCCAGCTGACACCTGGTTTGTTGCCTGTCCTTGTGTCCTCTCTGCCTCTCCTAACAGTCTGGATGAATGTTTCTTCTTTAACTCCCTGGTTTTCGGACTTCCATACACTTCAATTTCCTGGCAGTTCTGGTTGTTTTTGTTTTTAAAGTGGTTGTTTTTTTCTTTAGTTTATGGGAGGAGGCAAAGGGTATCTACTTACGCATCCATATTGACTGGAATACTTTTTTTTTTAATTGTTGTTCAATTATAGTTGTCCTACTTTTTTTCCCATTGCTCTCCTCTGCTCCAACTTCCCCTCTCCCCTACTCCCACAGTCAATCTCCACCATTGTCCATGTCCATGGGTCCGTTATACATGCTCCTTGACTTGCCCCTTCCCCTTCTTTCTCCCATTATCCTCCCCCCGTCTTCCCTGTGGTCGCTGTCAGTGTGTTCTTTATTTCCATGTCTCTGGTTGTGTTTTGTGTGTGTGTTTGTTTTCTTGATTAGATTCCACTTATAGGTGAAATCATATGGTATTTGTCTTTTACCACCTGGCTTATTTCACTTAGCATAATACTTACAGTTCCATCCATGCTGTCGCAAAGGGCAGGAGTTCTATCTTTCTTTCTGCTGCGTAGTATTCCATTGTGTAAATGTACCGCAGTTTTTTGATCCACTCATTTAAAGAATTTAAGGAACTTGATCTTTGGTCTTCTGGCCAAGATGGAGGCATAGGTAGATACAGTTTGCCTCCTTGCACAGCTGAAAGAAGGACAAAGTTAAACATAAAAAAAAAGCCAGAACTGCCAGATAATAGAAGTGTATGGAAGTTTGACAACCAAGGAATTAAAGAACAAACATCCAGACTGCGCCACAATGCAGCAAAGCGGGTAGCCCTGCCCTGGACATTACCTATGGCTCTGCCCCTTAAAACATAACAGGTGCACTAAGACAAAGAAATATGGCTCAAATGAAAGAACAGATCAAAATTCCAGGAAAAGAACTTAGTAAAAACGAGATAGACCACCTTTCAGATGCAGAGTTGAAAACACTGGTAATCTGCATGCTTACAGAAATGAGTAAGTATGGCCAAAAAATAAAGAAAGAAGTGAAGACTTTGCAAAGTGAAACAAAGAAAAATACATAGGGAACCAAGAGTGAAGAGAAGGATACCAGAACTCAAATCAATGATTTGGAACAAAAGTAAGAAATAAACATTTAACCATAACAAAATGAAGAAACAAAAATTCAAAAAAATGACTAGAGACTTAGGGACCTCTGGGACAACTTTAAGCATTCCAACATCTGAATCACAGGTGTGCCAGAAGGGGAAGGGGAAGAGGAAGAGCAAGAAATTAAAAACTTACTTGAAAAAGTAGTGAAAGAAAACTTCTCCAGTATGGCGAAGGCAATAGACATACAAGTCCAGGAAGCTCAGAGAGTCCCATACAAGTTGGACTCAAAGAGGAACACACCAAGACACACCATAATTAAATTGCAAAAGATTAAAGATAAGGAGAGAATCTTAAAAGCAGCAACAGTAAAGAAGAAAGTTACCTACAAAGGAGTTCCCGTAGGACTACCGGCTCATTTTTTCAAAAGAAACCTTGCAGGCAGAAGGGGCTGGCAGGAGATAGTCAAAGATGAAAAGCAAGGACCTACAACCTAGATTACCCTATCCAGCAAAGCTATCATTTAGAATGGAAGGGCAGATAAAGTGCTTACCAGATAAGGTCAAGTTAAATGAGTTCATCATCACCAAGCCCTTATGATATGAAATGTTAAAGGGACCTATCTAAGGAATAGAATCACAGAAATGGAGATTACATGGAGGGTTATCAGTGGCAGGGGGGAAGAGGGAGAATGGGGGACAAAGTAAAGGGAATAAGAATCATAGTTGGTAGGTACAAAATAGACACGAGGATGTTAAGAAAAGTATAGGAAATGGAGAAGCCAAAGAACTTACATGTATGAACTATGGAAATGAACTAAGTGGCTAGGGAGAATGTTGGAGGGAATGAGAGTACCAGGTCAAGGAGGATAAAGGGGAAAAAAAGAATGGGAAAACTGTAATAGCATAATCAATAAAATATACTTAAAAATTATATACACAAAGACGCCAATTACTATAGTTTCAAAAATAGTGAAATACTTGGAATAATAGTGTTAAGTGAATATTTATAAATGGTTAGAATGTTATGCAGCATTTAAAATTAAAAGTGTACTATAAGTAAAATGTTTATAATTTCAAGCAAAATAATTTCTCATCTCAGTTTTTTCATCAATAAAATAAAGGTTATAACACTACCTACCTCACAGTGTTTTTAAGAGAAATAAATGAAAACTCATAAAATGCCTAGCACAGTACCTTAGCAAGTAGTTAGTATTCAGTAAATGTTGCTGTTATGATTGTTATACATAAACATATGTCCTCGATCATTATTGTCTTAGAAAGTTTTTTGTATTATATAGTCATACACATTACATTTTGGTTAATGATGGATCACAGATAGGACTGTGGTCCCTTTAGATTATAATGGAGGTGAAAAATTCCTGTGTCTCAGTGATGCTGTCATCATTGTCATAACCTCGTAGTGTAATTCATTACACAAATATTTACTGTTGTAGTTACCTAGTAATATGCTATACAGGCTTGTGGCCTAGGCACAATAGGCTATACCATATAGCCTGAGTGCGCACTATGCTATATCATGTAGGTTTCTGTAAGTGCACTCTATGATGTTTGCATGACAAAATCACCTAATGACACATTGTTCATAATGTATCCCTGTTAAGCAGTGCATGACTGCACACACTATTTAATGATTTGTCCTTTTCATTTAACCACATGCATATTTTCGAGTGTCTTCAATTATGCACATATATAGAATTGTCAATTTAAAAAATTAGAGTATAATATGCAAACACAAAAATACACAAGTTGTAAATGTACTGTTTGGTGAATTATTACAAAATAAGTTTCACAAAGAGGAAACACTTCTGTAACCACTATTCATGTAACCGCCAACATCCCCAAATCCCCTGCCCTCCCCTCCCCATCACTGCTGCCTTCATTCTCACGGATTATTATGCTTTTAAGATTCTCTTCTTATCTTTAATTTTGGGTAATTTAACTATGATGTGTCTTGGTGTATTCTTCCTTGGGTCCATTTTCTTTGGGATTCTGACCTTCCTGGACTTGCTGGAAGTCGATATTTCCTTCTCCAGACTCGGGACATGCTCCTTCATTATTCTCTATACATTTTCAATCTCTTGCTCTTCCTCTTCTCCTCCTGGGACCCCTATGATTTGGGTGTTGGAACGCTTAAAGTTGTCCCAGAGGTTCCTAATCCTCTCCTCATTTTTTTGAAATTCTTATCTCTTTGTTTTGTTCTGGTTGAATGTTTATTTCTTCCTTCTGTTCCAAATCTTTGATTTGTGCCCCAGTTTCCTTTCCTTCATTGTTGGTTCCCTGTATATTTTTCTTTATTTCACTTTGCATAGCCTTCATTTCTTCCTCTATTTTGCGATCATACTTAGTCATTCCCGTGAGCATGCAGATTACCAGTGTTTTGAACTGTGCATTGGGTAGGTTCTCTTTGTCGCTTAGTTGTTTTTCTGGAGCTTTGATCCGTTCTTTCATTTGGGCCGTATTTCTTTGTCTCAGCACTCCTGTTATGTTGTAAGGGGTGGAACCATAGGTATTCACCTGGAGGAAGTAGGGGGCAAGCCTCCTTGCTGCGTTATGGCGCTGTATGTGGGGGAGGGTTCAGAGAGAAAACAAAGCTGCTTGCTTGGCTTTTTCCCTGCTTTCAGTCACTTCCCTGGCTTCCCACAAGTGGATTGTGTCCTTTCAGGTATGGATTCCTGTCTGGTTGGGTTTGTGTAGTGTTCTAGGATCCTCTGGGCCCTGCCAGTGAGTTCTGTGAGGCTGGAAGTTTCTCCTGCTGCTGCAACCCCCTCAGGTTTTTACAGCCAGAGTTTTTGAGGTTTTAGTTTCTGGCACTGGAATCCTGGGTTGTGCAGTCTGTCTTGCTCCCCAGTTATTCTTCCAGTCTTATCCACACTTGAATGTGGGATATCCTGATCTGCCAGCCACTTTGTCGTGCATCCTCACCGCCCTGTCTTCTCAACTCTGCTTCTCTTACTGGTCTGGTCTGGATGAATGTTTAACTCCTTGGTCATCGGACCTCCATACAGACTGATTTTCTGACAGTTCTCTCTCTCTCTTTTTTTTTTTTAAACTTAGTTGTTATCCTTCTTTTGGTTGTGTGAGGAAATGAAGCATATCTACCTATTCCTCCATCTTGGCTGGAAGCCTCCCACTATACCTTTTATTTAAAACAAACTTTAAGTGGAGGTAATTGCATTCTTTAATTATCCTTTTGGTGACTGTGATTTTTATAAAAATCTTTAAAATGGGATTATATTGAGTTTATATAAAAATAGAGTGAAGAATGTGATTCCCCTCATATACTTATTATCAGTTTAAACAGTATTGACCCATGCCTAATGTGTGTCATCTGTTATTTACATTCCTCCCGCCCATGGATTATTTTGAAGCAAATTCCAGACATAGTATCTTTTTGTGTATAAATGTGTGTAGGGGATTGTAGATTTTTATTCTCTACCATATGTTTTTTAGTGTTAGTATGTTGACTTTGGAGGCAGAAAGATAATGCTTGCAAATTCAAAGCTATTTGCATTCCAAGGCATTTATGTATGTGACAGAGTGTGTTCCACATCTCTGATGTTTGTGATTGGTAATTATACCTGCTAACAAAAGTTTGTGGAAGCAAGGTCATTTCCCCCTGGCATTTGTAGACCTTTGTGTCTCCTTAAAAAGTAGCATGTAGTACCATATTTAGTGTATTGGAGTTTAAGTGGATATCCCCTAAGAATTGAATTCACAGTAATAAATTAATTTTCATATCCCATTGACTCTGCTATTTATACTTGTATATTCAAAGGAAAGAGCACAGTGATTTTATTGTTTTTTTCTGGTTTTATTTTAAACTGTTTGCATATATATGAGTTCAGCATTTTTAACTTATTTTTTTTTTAATTTTTATTTTGAAATACCTTTGGCCTTACAGAAAAATAATAAACATGGGACAGGGAGTTTTCTTATACCCATCACCCAGCTTCATTGTTAACAACTGATGTGACTGTTGCACAATGAGCAAAACCATGTAATTAACATTGGCTATATGTCTTTATTTTAACAGCTGCTGAAATAGTTCAAGAAATCGAAAATATGGAGAAGACTAGGATGCGTCTTGAAGCTAGTAAACTCAATGAAAGCGTATGTTATAGTCTATTTCAGTATCTGGGTAGAAATAAAGGAAAGTTGAATACCATACTAAAATTAAAGCAAGCGAGTATGTATTATATCTGTTCAATGAGAAATGTACTAGAACACATTTCCATTTAATATATTATGATTTACTTGCAGCTCATTTTTTAGCACAAAATTCTATCGTATTTATCAGTCTCCTAGCATAGCATGCAATCTAAAGTAGAGTTTATTAATGACAAACAGTCCTTAGAAAAAACATGTGCCTATGTATCAGGTAGCCTTTATGTTGGTCCTTTCTCTGCTGGTTGCATTTAATAAGCTGTTTAACCCCTGCAGCCCTTACTATCTTCAGCTGTAAAACTCAGGGGATTGAACTCTGTGATCTCTAAGATCGTCTTTTGGCTCTAACATTCCGCAATTCTATAATTATACTGATTGAGAAATTAAGTAGTTGTAGGAGTTTATGAGTACCTATTGAGCTTATTTAAGGAATCAGAGACCTAAAATTTTTCACTGTTGCCTTCTTCTAGCTTGATGGCCCAAAACTTGAGGAAAGATGCCAAAGAAAATAGTCTTTGTGTCCTATGACACTGAAGGAAATGCTTTGGGCTTTTTTTCCCTAGACCATCAGTAATGTGTTTGTAAGGAAAACAATGACCTTAGGGAAGTGAGTGTATAATCAGATAATAGAAAAAATGAGATTTTCATGACTTTATTACTACCTATGTGCTAACTGTAGGGTGGAGACTGTAATGAATAATATAAGTAGACTTCTGATCTTTTAGTCTAAGATTTTTAGAAGTGGAACTAGAAATTTAACGTAAGTGTTGTATTTTCCCTATATAACATTTCTTATAGATTTGGGGGAGTTAGGCTGGAAAAGATAGGAGGGAAACAAGATTTGTCTTATTAATGATTTTTCTAAATGTCTCCTGTCTTGTGCTTTAAAGTGTTACCTGTTATATTAATGAATGTGAAAAATTAAGTATTGAAAATATGGAATTTAATTGTTGTATTAGTACTTCATATATTCTAATGGGACCCATGTTGTATTTTCTACTGAAGAGAAGTAATGAGTAAATTGTATACTAATTATGATATTCAAGAAAATAACAGGAGTTATTTTTCCTAGGTCTATTTAAAACAGATGAGATATTATTTCACTCTATTTTAAGCATCCACATTTGAGATCTTAAAGTTTATAGTACTGATTTCTGTTTTTGTCATTTAATAAATTTTGAATTAACAATTTTTGGATCCTTTTAGGTAATGGTTTTTACAAAGGACCAAACAGAAAAGGAAATAGATGAAATTCACAGTACATATCGTAAGTAGTGTGACGTTTTCTTTATTTGCAAAGAATTTGGGTTGCAGTTTTTTACCTTAAGTATATTTTAAAAAATTTTATATTAACTTTTGATACAAACTTTCCTTCTATCAGTCAATGTGCTTGCTTTTTAATAGATTTTATTTATTTATTTTTAGAGAGACGGGAAGGTGAGAAATATCGATGTGTGGTTGCCTTTTGCATGCTCCCAACTGGGGGCCAGGCCTGCATCCAGGCATGTGCCCTGACTGGGAATCGAACTGGTGATCTTTCAGTTGGTAGGCAGGCGCTCAATCCACTGAGTGACATCAGCCAGGGCTATCTATGCTTGCTTTTTGATTTGTGACTAACATTCTACTTTGAGCTTATCACTAAGCACTTTGCAAATATTAATTAGTTGCTCTCAAAGCATCTCTGTGAGAATAAAATGGGATTTAAATGGAAACATTTCCAACTCTCCATCCTGTCTTCAAGTCACTCAATGACAATACTGCTGTAAAGAATTTCAGCACTTAACAGCTTGCAAACTTGCGTGGAAAAGAGGTTTCATTTTATTAGGTATTAACAACTTCCTAACTGCATCACTTTCTTTTCCTTAAATGGCCTTTGCATATATCTTTGCCAGGGCTAGCACATGACTTCTTGGCAGCTGTTATTCTTTGTTTATTTGGTTTGTTTTTAGTTTCAATTTAAATTTAAGTACTTGGCAAACAGTAGATAGTTAATAAATATTTGTTGGATGAGTGTAACACACATAATGTGTTTTAGTTGTGCTAAGAGAAATTTATTTTCTTTTTTCAGTTCTTAAGCTTTGAAGGGGCAGATTCAGCAGTGATTTGTTTGGGGAGGGAGGAGAAGCGGTTAGTGCCCAGGCGCTGCCTGTAGGCATGGGGGCCTGTGCCTTACTAGACTATCCGCAGACCACAGACTGGACAGCAAAAGTCACAGCTCTGTTGCTTTGGTCTAATCCTCAAACTTTCTGATCAGAAAGCCGTACGTTATATCCAAAGAAGGTTTGTCTCTTGGTAATAATTAATAAATCTCACTATTAAAATTCAATCAGAAATGGTCATTTCAACCACAGTGTCAAATTGTTTATTTATAATGGGGGATAGCTCATATCATTTATTTAATATCCCCTTCCTGATATTAAATAGATACTTGTCTATTATATGCATTGTAAGAGGGACATCTGCTTTTCTTTCCTTCAGTCTCCACTGACGCATAGCTCCTCATGCCTTGCTCTTTTTGGGGATCAGGTCCACAGTCTGTTACAGCCTTCTGGTCTCAGGTCCTTGGCTTCTGGATTCCCACTTTGACTTCAGGTCTCTTGCAGTATTCTCAGCCTTCATTTGTGGAGTTGGGAGACCTTGGCTATTTCCACTCTTTATACTCCAGTGTTCTGTGAGGCTATACACAGAAATTTTACCACTGTGACCTTTACTTGGCACCATGTTGAGAGGGGGACTTCTCTCTGAGGCTTGCAGTCTTCTCTACAACCTGGACATGTCTAGACATTCTTGAATGTTTTCCATCTATATACAATTTACGTTACCTCCTCCAAATGAAATACAAGGGGTGGGAGGTGAGGTGCCTGGTTACTTTGGAATTTAGGCAGCATCAAAATCAATTCCCATGTTCTTAGATCCATGACTACCCCTCCCCCACCAATGTATATCCAGCACCAGGGTGAGTCCTGGCATAACGGATGTCCAGTAAATTAGCTTCACAAAAAAATAAGATTTTCATGTTTATGAAAATATCACACACTCATTGGAAAGAAAAACTTAAAAATGTAACAAAGTGAAGAAAAGTGAAAAAACAAACCCAAACACCTGATACTCCACCAATTGTGAAACAACTGTCATGAAGTTTTGGAGACCATCCCTTCATTCATGGCTCCCAAAGGTCACACAAATACATAGTTTTACACAGTTTTATACCATGTGTGCTGCTCTTACATTTCTCCTTTTTCCACAGTCTCTTCCCTTACTTATCTCCCTACCTCTTTTCTCTTCCCTTCAAGTTAACCAATGTTCACTGTCCGGTACATATCCTTTCATACCTGTTTCCATGTTCATCTAATCACATACACACATAAATACATAAATTGATGTGTTTAACAAAAATGAAATAGTATACATATATATTAAAGCAGTGATTTATTAAAAATTGTGGACAAAACTTGAGGTGAACTAGTGTAGATATAACTCATTTTAAAAATTACTCTCATGCTATCACATATGTCACAATTCATCCAACCTGTTAGTGGCCATTCATTGTGTCCCCGCTTGGGTTTCTTCTCTGCCTCCAAAACTATACTTCAGCCAACATCCTTATTTGTGTACTCTTATTCATTGATCCTCTTGTCTCTATGGGACAGACTTCTGAGTCAAAGTACTTTAATTTTTCAAATATTATAGAATTAGATTGCTGGTGAAAGTATACGCTCATATAACCTATTGGTAAGAGTACGTAATTTCCCAAACCCCACTAGCAGAAGATCTCTTAATTTTGCTAACTCCATGAAGTGAAAGTGATATAGCACTGGATGTTTTCACTTGCATTTTCCTGAGTACTACTTAGGTTCATAATATTTTCATAGGTTAATGGCCATTTGGAGTTGCCCTTCTATCAATAGCCTTCCAGTCCAGATAGTTAAAGACTTCAGTGTAAAAAATAAAATTATGAGAATGTTAGAAACAAATTTAGGAAACTCTGTATAACCTAGGAATTAAGACTCTTTTAACTAAAATAGTAAATTAAGAAAAAGGAAAAGATTTTAATCAACTTTTGGGAGGTCAAAGAGATTTTTCTTGGGACAGGAGATAGCAACTGTCAAAGGATCACTGAATCGGCAAAACTGAGGCCTGTAGCAAGAGGAAACGAGAAATTTGGCATGGAGAAAAAGTAATTTAAGTCACTAAAAGAGTGGTATCTAATAAGTATTCCACACCAGGAAGTAGAGTAGATACAGGCAAGATAACATACAAATATCTATTCCCTGCCATTTAAATATCTAAAAAAAAGCTTAACTTTACTAATATAGATCATGTTAAAATAATTGATTTAGCTGTAAAAGAAACCTCAGTATATACTTAAAAAAAAAATCTTTCACCAAGCTTAAGTGCTTAGCATTATAGTTTAGTCGTACGTTATGATTTAGTGTTGGGCTCCAAATATTTCTATTGATTTCTTTTAAACACATTTATTAATACTTTACATGCATGTCGTTTTTTAAAAATCACATATGTCAGCAAGGCTTATTATTAAAAAACAAAACTCTTGCTTTCTCCATCACCAGCCTGTCTTCATTCCCATTCCCTGGAGATAACAGTTGTTAGAACTTTTGGCTTTTGTTTTGGTGATTATATTTATTTTAATGAAAAGATTGTTCTTTCTGCTATTCAAGTGTTTCAGTTTTTCATGTTAACTATTGATTGATGTCACAATATGAAGAATGAAGATTTAGCTCTTTTATGTATCTGACGCCTTACCTTTGCCTTCTTCCCAGTCTCTGAGTATTGTCGTAATTTTCTGTAAGTTTAATATTTAGCCAGATGCTTTACAGTTTGAGCCAGACAGCATATATACTATGGTTATGAAGGGTAGCAGAATATGCCATCCCCAAAATACGCTGCTGTGGCATAAGAATTAATTACGGTACTTGTAGGTGAGGGCAACTGAGAAGCAGATATTTAAAAAACAAAACAAAACACCTTCTGCCTTTCCTCTATTTGCCTAAAAGCAGGACAGAAACTTACAAAGGTGTCTGTTTGCCATCCCCTCTCTGTCCGTAAGGATAAGTTAGTCTTCATGTCAATTGAGAAGGCACTGCCTTACATGTGCATAACAGACCTTACTTTTGTTTACTGTTTTTCCTAGTCACCTCCCCATAATTGGCCCCACACACACCTTTTTTTGGGGGGGGAGGGGGTGAACTACCTGAAAGTGGTATTGAAACCCGTGTTCCCGAGCCATGTCTTTTTAATCTAGGTATCTTCCATGTGTATGTAAGATATACATGTTAATAAACTTGTTTTTCTTTTGTTAATCTGTCTTTTGTTACAGGGTTACCAGCAAAGAACTAAGAAGGCTGGAGGGAAAATTATTTTTTCCTCCCTTACAGTTATAATCCCTTTCAGAAAAATTCTTGTTTTAGTAATTAATAATTGTCCTTTACTTGCTTAGTTTTCTATTTATCTAGTCTTGATCTACCTCCAAACTTTCCACCAGAAATGTGTATTACTTTCTAATACATTTAAACACATTGATTGTTGATCACCTCATTTGCTTGGGCACATCCTGCCTGAGGCAGCCCCCAGCCTTTGGCGCTGTCCTAGTCCATTCTCCTCTGGCTGCTCTTTGCTGCTATCCTGGAATTTGCTTTCAGCAAACTTCTCTGTATTGATGCTCTCCTCCCTCCTGTGCACATCACTTACTTCAGCAAACAAATTTTCTTCTCTTTCCTTGTTTTGGTGGAATACATTTTTCAGGAAACTTCCTGAGCAAAAGGTTTACGGAGGAATATTTTTTAAGACCATATATAACTGGGAATTACCTTTACTATTGATTGATTATTCAACTGGATTTACAATTTTAGTTTGGAAAGATTTTCCCTTCCAAATTTTGAAAGTATTTTTTCACTGTCTTGTATTTTCCATCATTGTCATCATTAACTCTCTTGGCATTCGAGGTCTTTGTCCTTCATCCCTTAATGTTTTTCCTTTTCCTGACCCACACATGTTCAGTTTATTATGTTCTGCCAGTGTCTATCTTTAAAAAAAAAATTTTTGTTTTAAAGATTCTATTTATTTATTTTTAGAGAGAGGGGGAGGGAGAAAGGGAAGAAGAGAAACATCAGTGTGTGGTTGCCTCTAGAGCACCCCCTCCTGGATACCTGGCCGGCAACCCAGGCATGTGCCCTGACTAAGAATCGAACTGGCTACCCTTTGATTCGCATGCCAGCGCTCACACTAAGCCACACTAGCCAGGGCTGT